TTTTCCTATGATTTTTAATAACTACACCTGTTTTAGCACTTGAGTATCCGGGTATTTATTTAACCTGATTCCTGTTATTGAATGTCTGAGTCATTTCCACGTTTTCATTACTCGTATGTAATGTTTCACTAGGTGGTTTTACATAAAACTTTTGTATATCTTTGACATTTTTCATTTATTCGTTACTAATGGAAATTTTAGGTCACGTGTTACGCACATTTTCAGTATTTTTGATGTACAAGCAAATCACCTTTTAGAAAGTTTATATGTGTTCCCCAGAAAAGTTTGAGATTATCCTACTGTTTTAGTTAATGTGACTTATTAATCATGACATCATAACTCCTTTAGCTTTTTTAGTGAGATAAATTACTGGAAAATGCTCTCGACTGAGCCACTATTTTTTAATGGCTCTTCAAAATATGTTTTTCCTGCTATGATGGCATTCCTTAGCCAGGCTTGTTCTAGTAGCTCCTTGCTGAGCGCGGGCAGCGTTGACAGGGAAGGAGAGCAGGGGGTGAGCGTAGCATTCGGAGCCTATACTTCCTGTTCTTCCCAGGGGAACCAGCTCCAGCTTCTGTCTCCTACTTTTCTGGCTCACAGCTAGAGCTGGTAGATATAGAAATACCTGAAAATATTGTCACACTGCCTAATTTATTACATTTATATATCACTCTCGTGAGAACACAGCCACGGTCTTTGTTGAATGGATTGAAACTGGCATGCATATGTGTCCAAAATCCCATGTCTTTCCTCCGTAGTTCCTCCAAGTTTTCAGAAACTCTGGGAAATGGGAAACATGCTGGATACCGGCAGGAGTGGAGAAGCCAAGGATGTGATCATCAACAACCCCCTTTCTCTCTACTGTGAGACAAACGCTGCCCCTCCTCCTACGCTGACGTGGTACAAAGACGGCCGTCCTCTGGCCTCGAGTGATAGAGTATTGATTTTACCAGGTAAGGACTGCTCTGAACAGGGTGAAAGTCCGAACCTGTGCCAGATGTGCTTCTCTCGTTTATTAAGAACAGTTGAGTTGATTGACGTCTGGCCATGTAATTTATCTGACACCGGCGGCCAGATGGCACAGCTGTCCCTGTCGCTTCAGGATGAGAATTTGGCATCAGATAGAACCCCTTAGTTAATCATCAGATCTGCCTCATGATCGTTCTATCAATTTAAAGAAGCCCTGGACTTCCCTGTGCCTTTATTTTTCTAATAGTGTCATGAAATAGTCACTTCGGTTTCTATACATTAATGATAAATTCTAAAATATATTTATGATTAGTTGTACTCAGTTTATTAACTGCATTTATCATAAGACAGTAATAAAGATTATTAGTTTCAAGTATTTTAGTTATTGATGGAAAAGGAGATATTTAAATTGTTGTGAGATAGTAATATTTTCAAGGCCTCTATTCACTTTTAACAAACATTAAAATAGGCTCCTCAAACTTTATCAAATTGTATACTTAAGATCGGTGCATTCCACTGTATGTAAATTTTATCTTCATTAAATAGGAGAATGTCTTGGAAAAAAAATAGAGACTAAATAGAAATGGCAACTAAATATAATAAGTGATCCTAAATTGGATCTGGGCTCGAAAACAAATAAGCTATAAAAGGCAATATTATAATAATAATGACATTGGACTGTGCACTATGAATTCAACAGTAGTTTTGGATTGATTTCACATTTTCTGATATTCGTCATTGTATTATAGTTATATAAAGGCTTATCCTTTTTTATGAAATATAAATCTATGGGTATTTAGGGATGAAAGCACATCATGTGTCCTAGTTACTCTAAAATGGTTCAAAAAATATTATATATAAACATAATATATATATAACACATAGGACATCATATATA